CATTCTAAAGGTGGGGGTCGTATGAGAGCTGTAACTGTCTTCTCTCCAGTCAAATAGATGGGTGATGTAATTTTAAACCCTTATAATGAAAAGAAGCTGAACTCACAGTTTTTGTACTGAAAGTCGACCCATTTTTCCACAAATCTGGGCTATAAACTATAAACAGATGGCGTCTCTTCAGTGATCTGCTCTGTAAACATGATTTTTATAAAATAATACAAAGAGCGTCTCAGATTTTTGGCTTTCAGCAATAAATTGTAAGCATATAGCAATATGTGTATCATAAAATACATGTTCTGTTAATTTGAGGGGAACTTTTACAAAAAAAAATAAATAAAGAAAGAAAATAAAAAATTACATTTATTTCATGCAGTTACTGAATAATTTTCCTAACGATTTGGTCACGTAAATTCAGATGGCTGTTTATAAATGCACATAATTTAGACCACTTGTGGTCGTCATTGTTATTAGTTAGCCTCTAATTTTACAGAACATCAGCTAACAAACTGATTTGCTAATGTCATATAAGCCGAGGTGAGATTCCTAACTTAGCCCCTGAATTTAGTGCTGCTGTTGATGTTATAAGAACAGTATGGTTCTGTAAAGCCAATTAAAAAGGAAAAGAAAAGGTTTATGAATGTTATTATTTGCACATATTTGCATCACTTGGTGTGAAGGAAGATGCTGTTGGAGTCACCTAGTTAGTTGGTAGGGTCAGAAATAATTCCGCTTTTATTTCTAAACTATTTGAAAAGTGTATTTCTGGGGTCGGACAGTAGATTAAAACTAGAAGCGACCTGGAGGTCAGTAGGCTAATTCTGTGTGGTAACTAGCTCTGCAGTCACACTGTGACATGTTGGACCAGAATTCCTGACACTGCCAGAACAGTTAGTCCCCTACCTGTTAATGTGTAGTGTTTCTTATTGGATGTAGCTGTGTGTTCAGTTGGTGGGGCTGCAGTGAAATGTTCATTACCAGAGACTTTACAACTGCCATACTGCTGTAGGTACATGCTGGGGCTGAACGATTAACGATTAATCGATTAATTGCAAGTTTAAAGAGTGCAATTTTCAAATCGCAAAAGCTGTGATTTTTATCATAGTCTTAGTCTATTTTCAACCACACTCTTAAAGATGGTTCTTCAAGGGTTCTTTAGTAAAGAAAATGATTCTATATAGAACCGTGAACACCCTCAAAGAACTCTTTGCATGATTAAATGGTTCCTCAGACTGATGGAGAATGTGCTGTAGATGCTTCTATATAGAACCTTTTTGAAAAGGGTTCTATATAGCACCCAAAAATGTTCTTCTGTTGTTACGGTGTCAAGCTAGTAACAGTAGCAGAACCCTTCTGGGTGCTATACAGAACCATATACAACACATTTTCCATATATCAGAAGAACCGTTTCACAATGCAAAAAAACATTTAATCAGGCCAAGGGTTTCTTGAGGGTTCATAGTTCCATACAGAACCGTTTTCTTTACTAAAGAACCCTTAAAGAACCGTCTTTTTGGAGTGTGAATGTTGATACGTTTAAGGTTTAAGTAGGGAAATTTAACCTAATCACACGGAGCTCGTGAACTGCTTGTAGATGAATTTGACGAATCAGAAGCAACCAAACAACCGTGTGCTGTGACATCACAACCGCAAATAACTGGGAGGCTGGTGCTCCGTGTTAAGAGTTCAAGCCTCAAGCCAGAAACGTATACGCTGGTTTTATTAGTCAAAAAAAGGGCTCAGACATCAGTTTATAGAAAACATTCGCAACTTAAATCATAATCGCAATATTGGACAGAAAAATCACAATTGGATATAAGTCGTTCAGCCCTAGTGCACGCTCAGAAAACACCGTACTTTCAGGGGGTGCCCTGAAGGGTATGTCTTTAGTAGCTTTAGTTAGGGAATATAATTCATATTTCATTGCAGTTACATTCTATAAGTTGTATTGACTTCATAAACCCTTTCCTGACTCTGGGCTTTGTTTTATTTTTCCATTTAGAGAAGTTACGCTATGAAAAGGCACAAAGGTGCCCTTTCCTCCGGGAAAGAGAGTGTAGTGTACCCTTTAAAACGCATTTAAGGCTCACAATTGGACCCTAAGGATGTTGTTGTACTTTTGAAGGTATGTTTACATAGTTTGTACCTTGGAGGACAAATATGTACCTGTGCAAACCTTTTTTTTTCTACCAGTATAAGCAAAATCTTTGTGCGTCAGCATCTCCTGAAGACTGTAATTCCCTGCGGTTTTCTCCATTTTTCCATAATTATCGCGAAGCCTTGAGAATGTTTAGAGCTTTTTTTTGCTCCCACAGGAACAGAGAAAAGATCCACAGCTGGAAAACAACTTGACTGCTGCCTTTGTTCTTTATAACAAGCTACTTTAAGCATATAATAATAATAATAATAATAATAATAATAATAACATCTTTATTTATAGCGCACCCAGAGAACACTTTTCATAGCGGTGCCAGCTCAAAGTGCTTTACAAACAGGTGATAAACCATAATAGAAGAAAGTATAAGTTAAAATGATGTAAGACAAGAATATAAATTACCTTAGATCAGGGGTCGCAACCCAAACGTTAAGAAGAGCCATTCTGTCAAGTTTCAACAAAATCTAGCCACTTTGGGAGCCACAACATTTTATGTCCATTTTATTGAAGTAACGTTTCTCCATCTTGGCTGTAAATGTGTCTCGGTATGTGTTAAATGTGCTAGTAGAGGCTAAAAATATAGTATAAACAAAAACACAGACTTACTTTGCTCTGCTTTAAGCTTTAGCTCAGCTACAGACGCTTTTCTCGCATCTCTGGCAGGAAACTTTTCTGCAAAATTGGAACAGTTTCGTGTAAAATGTCTCTCAACGTTCAACTTTTTTACGAGGCTGAAGTCGCTTCTCATTCGCCAGCTTCTTGTTCATATTTTCCCCACCTTAAATGGCGCCTGAGGCACCAGAATGTAGTTAACTGTTGCACCATTTAAGGTGGAACGGGAGAATTCGAACAGGCTGGCGAATGAGAAACTGACTTCAGCTTCGCGTCTTTTTAGTGTTTGTCAGTTTCTCGCTGCAGATTAAATGTATCAGGAAACCAGCTGGAGTGATTATAAACACTAATAAGTCTATTTCGTCTCCAAATTATCGATGTTCGTCTTAATTCTCCCTCTTTGCCGTTTCGTTAGCTGCTAGCTAGGCGAGACTGTTGTCTGTGTTGCTATGGTGACCAGCAGTCTGCGCTGATCTTCAGGGTTAAAGGGTGAATTAGCAGTTCTACATTAACTCCAGAGTTTAAGACCATTTATTGTTAAACTGTGTTGAACGATCAGCAGAGCTTTATTTTACTGTAAAGGAGGATTATTTTATTTTTACCTACTAATCTGATTCAGCTGTGGAGCCACAACAGGGACAGTAAAAGAGCCGCATGCTGCCGACTCCTGGATTAGACAATGATACAGATCAAATTAAGTTAAAGAAATAAAAATGTTTATTCAAAGTCTGAACTGAGTTTGACTGTCTAATAAAAGGTAGAATTGAGTTCCACAGTTTATAATAAGCAAATATAAATAATAAAAACATGACCGAAGGTGAGACATAGGGAGACATAGCCGTGTACGCTTTCTCACTGATCCAGCCGTGTGAGTCTGATTTAAGATCTGATATGTGGGATAGTGCGGTCACTGGCTGATGCTCCTAATGGTGGTGAGTGTGTGCGCTGTGCGCTGGTACAGTGAAGGTTCTGCAGAGGCAGCCAATCTCCAGGCCATTAGAAGGATGGCACCTCTGCTGCTTCATTAGGATAATGCACTGTCGCGTGTGGCTGCGTGGCCTGCGCTGTGATTTAGAAATTAAAGCAGGTTTTTTTATATTCCACTACGGACCAGCCTGCCAAGCCAGAGAACTCAGGGCAAGCAGGACTGATGAAAGTCACCGATTCATCATTCTTTCTCTTTCTTCTGGGTTTTTTAGAGGTGTAACAATTCACAAGATGTACAATTCAGTTCAGTACGATGCAGTGGTGTCTCAGTTCAGGACATTTTTTAATAAAACTGAAAAATAAGCAGTGATTGAAAACGTGCCTCTTTCATTTTTATTTGAACATTCAACATTATAAGGACAACATACAGGGAGATTCACTCGAAAGAGGCCCCGAATATTCTGTAGTAACTCTCTAGAACGAAGCAATCTGAACGAAACAATGCATAATGAGCTCCTCAGTATATGGAGCTTTGAACAAGCAATGATGCCCCTGTGTCGGAGCGACGAGGTAGGTGCCGGACACACCCCCGTACCCCTTCACTCAGTCACTCGACTCATCAGGAGGATGGTGTACAGTATTGAGCAGCGCGTCAAGTAATGTAGCGTATTTTTTTGGTTCAGATTGCCTCATCCAGAACAACAGAATATTCAGGGAATCATTCGAGTGAATCTCCCTGTATTATAAAATATAATTTTTAAAAGTATATTCAAATATACACCAATCAGGCATAACATTATGACCACCTCCTTGTTTCTACGCTCATTGTCCATTTTATCAGCTCCACTTACTATATAGGTGCACTTTGTAGTTCTACAGTTACAGACTGTAGTCCATCTGTTTCTCTGTTGTTAGCCCCCATTTACCCTGTTCTTCAGTGGTCAGGACCCCCATGGACTATTTGGGTGGTGGGTCATTCTCAGCACTGCAGTAACACTGACGTGGTGGTGGTGTGTTAGTGTGTGTTGTGCTGGTCTGAGTGAATCAGACAGTGGATAACTTTATGTTGAGATTACAAGATAATTAACTCATTTTTGTTATCTCGAGACAACAAAATAAGTTACTTGTTATTTCAAGATAACAATTTTGTTATTTTGAGATACCAAGATACTTAACTTATCTCAAAATAACAATCCAGAAAATTATAACCACCTCATGGCCTCTCTGGACAACTGTGACTGATATTGTGAATTGTAATTTAAATCTCTCTCTCTCTCTCTCTCTCTCTCTCTCTCTCTCTCCCCCACAGAGCACCTTTAAGTTTAAGTCAGAGAGTGATATCCACCTCGCTGAGCATCATAAGCAGGTGTTGTATGATGGGAAGTTGGCCAGCAGCATTGCGTTCACCTATAACGCGAAGGCCACAGATGCCCAGCTCTGCCTGGAGTCTTCCCCCAGAGAGAACCCCTCCATCTTTGTCCACTCACCACACGCCCTCATGCTGCAGGTACGCACACCCTACACACCCTACACACAGCAAACACACAGTCTTGGCCCTTTTCTCCAGACCTCCCATAGTGACCATTCTGTGACGGAATGGATTAACTTGGATGTTTTGAATTAATATGGTCAAGTAAAATATTTTTCCCTGTAACTCTCATCAGATTAAGACACTGTTGGCTCACTGTGAGTGTAATGTTGTGGTTCTGTGATGAGCTGCTAGCGAGCAATGATGGGTGAAAGAGGAGGTGGGGTGAAGCCCCTGCCGTGAAAACAGTTCACACCTCCCTGAGAAGACGGCCATGGCGAGATAAAACAGACAGCACAACTACAGCTTTCATCTTATCAAACACCCCTGTCTGACCGTCACAATAAAATAAACATTTAAACACAGTAAACACACTTTTATAAATACTGATTTGGACCCAGTCCCATTTCACCCCTCGCCCCTACCACTGAGCCCTTACCCCTCTGTTTTGCGTGTTCACGTCTAGGGGTAGGGAGTCCTGATTCTTGTTGAGATAGAGGGGGTAGGGTGAAGTGTTAGGGGTGCATGGCCCTCCAAACGGAGGATTTTTAGAGAGACACTCCAAACAGAGAGTTATGAGGAAAAAAAGAAAGAAAAACCGGCAAGATCAAAAGAAAAACAACCAAATAAGAACACAAATGTGAGAATTTTCTCAGTTAAAAAATTACAATAACCACTGTTTTATCTTAGTTTAATGTCGTTTCAGTGTATTTTGGTCGTTTTCTTCATAACAAGCATAAAAAATCGCTAATAGCATGCTAAAGTTACCCGTTCCACCTTAAATTGTCCAGCAGTTCTGATGCCTGAAGCCCCAGAATGTAACTGCTGCTCCTTTTATGGTGGAACAGGAAAATTTGAACGAGAAGCTGGTGAATCTCTGACTTCAGCTTCATATCACTGAAGAATTAGGGGTGGGTGATAATAAATAATTGCCCCCCTCTTTGAAGATCATATGATGCCCTAAATGTAACTAAAGCCCAGCAGTGAGGAGCTGAACTTTACCCTCCTCTGCTGTCACTGCAGACCGGCAGGGTCGCCTACAGAGCAGCGCTGGTAGCTGTTAATGAAGTGATGCTCTTTTTATTTGAGGGTCCCATTTCAGAGGGAGGATTTCAACCACTACCCTGTAACTCAGTTCTAAGGGGCAACACTCGAAAACAAGGGGTAGGGGTAAAAATAAGAAATGGGACTGGGCCTTGCTTGCTCATCTGTGAAGATGACAGTCCTACTTGCTTCCAGTTTTATAAATCGTATTGATCATTTCCATCAAAATGTATTTCATCTTAATTATTAAAGGAAAAAAATGCATAGCAGAAAAACTGAATGAGCTCCAACTCGAGCAGAAATAGCATTTTATGTCTACTGCAAAAAGAGGTTGAAGCCCTATTCAGATGGAATTAAGTTTCGTGGTGTCCTGGGGTCGTTTCCTCTTTTACAGGTGCCACTCTGATTTTATTTCTGTCCAGATTGGTCATGCCTGTTTTTCTCCTTCCTCCCCATATTTTCTACTGTGTTTCGCTGAAGTCAGTGGTGTCTGGGTCTGGATACACACCGGTGTGATTTATCTGAATTCTACTGTCTATCTTTATCTGTATTTACTGTTGTGTAATATCATCTTGTACTGACGCCTGACACATCCTCTGAGAGAACACACTTAAATATTTTAAACATTTTAGCGTATAACGTCAACAACTGCGTTCCAAAGCCTGGGCTGCAGCTGAGGTAGGGCGGGTCCTCGGTGGGACCGTCCTATGAAGACTCCTCCTTAGTAGCCTATTGGTCACACAAGTGAAACAGTCCTAACGAGGTGAGAGAAAGTGGAGCTGCTGCATTGAGTTTGTTGCTTTTTCATTTGTTGACGGAAATGGAGGAGATGCTCTGATGTAGTACGATGAACTACGTAAATACAAATACGTCTAAATCAAGTATAATATATGGACGATATACAATATATGGACGAAAGCTTTAATGAATCAGTGATTTACACTTTATAAGGTAACGAAGATGAATTCAAGGACTAAAACGAGCTCTGCTCCAACGGCTTTGTTTTCCGTCATTTTCGTGGTGCTGTTTTTTTTTTGTTCATGCACAAAGAACTGTTGGCAACTGAAGGCCTGGAAGGATCCATCTGATCCCTCCTTGAAATCAGTCAGGACGTAGGCTGCATTTCTAGGCTGCATACGAAGGATCCTTCACTTTGGAACGGCCTGCTATGACGTAGCAGCTGAGAAATGCAGCCTAGACTTTGAATCGCAGCTGCAGTATTGCTGAGTTTAACATATTGGGGGGGAAATGAAACAGAAAATCGAAAACGTGCCGAAACCTTAAATTCTGCAAATAAACAGTAAATGTGCATTTAAATGTGCGGAAGTGTGTTCTCTGTAGAGGGCGTGTTAACTTACTGTCACTTCGCAAAGCAACAAAACGACCGGGAGCGCCCAAACTTTTGCATTTTGAGCTGACAAAGTTGTTCTTGATCCTAATATCTGAGAGTCTTTTGCTCAAACAGGACGTGAAGGCCATCGTCACTCACTCCATCCACAGTGCCATCCACTCCATCGGGGGCATCCAGGTCCTGTTCCCACTCTTCTCCCAGCTGGACTACCGGCAGCCCAACGACAGTCCAGTGGAGACCACCGTGTGGTGAGCACCTGTAGTCTCAAGCATCTGATGAACAATGATTGACATTCTCTTCTGTCCTGCACTTTAAAGTCCACCTTTTGTGTCTATAGCGCCGGACAGTGCAGTTCAGCTGTGATGTGATGTTGCTTCAGATGATCTTTGTTTAGCTCGTTCACACCTTCCTGTCTCGGAGCTCCAGCTCTCGTCACCTGGGCTCATTGTTCATGTGACGAGTTTAGCCTTGAGGTGTTGCTTTTATCACCACACAGGTTGTAAAGCTATTTCAGGTTGGTCTGAATGGAGATGGACGTATTGTGTAATAGGTGGATGATTCTGCTGAACAGGTCCAAAGTCAGAGCTGAAGCACATTTCAGACTTTTAACTGACTTGGACTTTAGACTAAAATCCTTATGCTTTGAAAGACCTTATAGCTTAATTCTGTTTATTAATATGATTGAACATTCCACTTTGTCGCTACCATTATAATATTATTGCCTCTGAAACCATGTTTCAGTGTTCGCTATTTCGGTAGTGACAATTTTAGCTTATTTTGGGTGTAACATAAAAACGCTAGCCAGCATATGACTAGCAAACGCAGCTTTGAACAGTTGTACACACGTAAAATATTTTCACACTAAAAGTTTACATACTTGCAGAAAATGTGTTGCGACAGTGACAGTTCCTAATGTTACACACTGATTTTCAGTCCTTGGAACAATTTAAAACAATGAGATCTAACTGCTCACCATGTGGCCACGAGGGACAGGGATGGAAGTTTTTATTTAAAAATGAAAGTGATGATAATTAAGCAGTAGAACACAGAGGGAGTGTGTTATCGTGAAATAACATCACGGCTGTGATTTGGTCGCCGTAGATCATCACAGCCGTGATGTTATTGGCGATAACACACTCCTCGAGTGTTCTATCGCTTTAATACAACAGTTAAATAAATAAAGTAATAAATTAATAAACTGGGCCGTGAACGCGGCGTTTAATATGTTTTAATGTTCGCAGTTCCTTCACCAAATTATAGTTCCTTAACGAGCAGCTTGTTGCTACGTCAGAGTAACGAGCTCCGCCCACTCGCCGCTCAGCCAGCAGTTCGTTCTCCAGCTCCACACAGACCAACTGACAGTTTGGGAATTTAGTGTCGTCTCATCTTCAGAGTCTGACCAAATCGGCTGTCGGTCAAATGTGATCTTAAAAGTGTCCGTTTTCTGTTTGTGGCAAAGTAAGAAGTAAAAATGTTCAGATGGCTTGAGCTCCTACAGCTGACAAAGTCGTTGCTTAGCAACGGCGTCTCAGTGGAGTGATAGTGTTTGTGAAAAAAAGTAGTTATGGTGAAAAAACAGCACAGTTAGAACACTTCTCAACCAATCAGCTTGCGTGGGCCGGAACTAACTGTTGTATAAATCTAAATATTTCAAATTCACTTAAAAAAATCAAAAAGATCTTTTAAAACATTGAAATAAAGTATTGTTTTCACAAGTTGAAATTTAGGGGTTAGGGTTTGGGACACCATCATAAAAGAAAGTAACCTATAAATGATGAATTTGTATATATTTGGCTTTTTACTGTCTTAAATAATGGGTCACACTTTATTTGGACGGTCCCCTATAGATGATCTACAGATACTTAAATCATTAAGAAACTTTCTTGATTATCAACAACATTATGGTTATGGTCAGATTTCATAGAATCTTCCACATTCAGCTTAGAGTTCAGTTGCGTTTAATAGATATTTAGTTGAATGTTAGTTAAAGACTGACTGAGCGTCTACAGTGGACCATCCAAATAAGGTGTTACCAATTAATACCTTTGGTTTAAATAGATCATAACTTAATCTTTATAAATATCCAAGGTCTAAATACATAATTGTTTTATGTTTTGTTTTTTTTTTCTGTGGGAAACTAATTTAGAAGAATATAGATATTAAGGGGGCAAAAATTCTGATAACTTATTAATATTAGCTGAAATAGATTTTATTTACTTATTAATTTGAATTGTATGCTCAGATAGTTTAACAGTAATTTAATGAGAGATATGAGTCATTTCACAACTGCCACACTTGAACTCTAATTAACAGCCGAAACTCACAGTCTTAAGTAATGTAAATATTGTAGCACGGGGATGAGCGGACACGTCTGGTTAATTACTTCTTAATTTTCATTTTTAATAGTTATTTTGGTAAAATGTAGTTGCAGTATGGTCGTCTAATGCTGAAGGATGGTTTTACAAATCAGCGGGTTTGAATTCTGGTGATGCCACAAACGAAGAACTCAGGACCATCAATATTGAATGATATTATCAGCCCACCAGTGTATCAGCTGGTCTCTCATAACCCTGCTGAAAAAAACAGCATAGATCAGCATGCATTCCATGCTGACCTATACTGGCCTATGGTGGTCTGGTGCTGGTTTAGCTGGTAACCCTGTATGGTCATGCTGGTTGACCGACACACCAGCATCCAAAACAACACATAGTTGCTGTCGGTATAAAACATTGTTTCTCAGGTTTTGGTGTTGAAATTTTGATTTGAAATCACCTGCTGCCCTGTCTGTTGTGTCAAATTTCACAGTGGACCAATAAAAATGATCCAGAATTACCTAGAATAAATAATTTCTCCTTCAGATTCTATTAAAGGTTAAGGATGTTTCTTCCTTCTCCTATAAAGTTACCTTTTTGGAGACCCGACAGTGACCATGTGCAGATTTTGCTGGTCTGTGCTGCTTTTCTAACAGGGATTATATATATATATATTTACATATCACAGGCCAAAAGTTTGAAATCAACAACAACTTCTGATAAAACTGTTTCTTCATGTTTATTTTTAGAAACATTAATTTGTTTATTAGCATGAAACAAAATGGTTTCACTAATTGCAGCAATAGACTGCACTGCCTGAGAGATTCTCCTGCTGGGTTTTATTACGGCTCTAATCATGTTCACTAAATTCTCACAATCAGATGAAGTTGTGTCGAATCAGAACGTCATAAATAAATGATTAAAATAATACGAACGATTATGTGATGTTGTGTAATTAAATCATAATTGGACTTTGTGTTTGTAGGAGTTTCAAAATGATTAAATACCGATTAGTGGAAAGGACTATTATCAGTAGAGACAGTCGAGGCTTTTCCTGTATTGTGCACTGAGCCACAGTCGCGCTAGGCATGTTCAGTTTGCGTGGCCTCGTGAAATGGCTGTGATTAATCCTGTAGTACAGTTAGGAAGCTAGCTAACTCAATAACCACAAAGAGTGAAGCCTAAACGCAAAAACATAATTATATCTGATAATTAGATCCACACAGGAGTGTTGTGTCACACACTGATCACTGAAAAAATGTTGTAGATATCATTATTGGCAACAGTGGGGTGACCAGGGCCGCCGGAACCACGGTGGCGAGCGGGCATTCGCCCCACCCCTTTTCACTGTGGCAACGCCCCACTACTGTTTGGTTTTGACATGCGAAACTCCACCCGAATTCAGACAGAACCAAACCGCTGAACCGCACTAATTCAGGAGGGAATTCGACACCAGAGCGCGTTTTTTTCCCACTGCACATTCTCTCTGTACTGTCTGCACCACCTGCTGCTTTAACATGCAGTGTTTACAGATGCTCACCCATGTGAGGGTTTATTGATCAGGAGTTTTGCAGGGATGTAAACGCTCGTTCCTGCACTGCGAGCTGCTCTAAATAACAAAAGACAAGCAATAAAATAATCATTTTTGGCCAAGCATCACCGACCATCAGCAATTTTAGTCAGTGGCCTAATTATATGGCGTCACTCAGCGCTCAGCCAGCTGTTTTTATTTGTTTAAATTTTTTAACGATATGTTTTGTCCCACAACTTTTGGAGGCCACCTCTGTCATACAGTTATTACGCTGCCTCATGCCTGGAACGTGGGGGGTTTCTTAAGATAGTGTTGACAGAACATTATAGTTTAAATCATATTTTGTAAATTCCATTCATAGTGGAGAGGAACATGCAGGGCAGCCCCCACAGAAAACTTACATTACAGAAAAAACTGGTTCCCTGGTGGTTTGGTACGGTAAATAAAATGGCTACGTTTGTGGTGTAGAAATCGCGACCTCTGGTTCCTATCACCACCACTGTAAAGAACATCAGCCAGTAAGTCTCTATAATAAACCATTTAACATCAAAACTGCCTGACTTTACATCTCAGCCATTGTATTGTTCAAAAATTTAGAAAAATCTAAAATTTCCCTTTAATTGTAAAATTAAACACCGGTCAGGCATAACTTTATGACCACCTCCTTGATTCTACGCTCATTGTCCGTTTTATCAGCTCCACTTACTATATAGGTGCACTTTGTAGTTCTACAGTTACAGACTGTAGTCCATCTGTTTCTCTGATACTTTGTTAGCCCCCTTTTACCCTGTTCTTCAGTGGTCAGGACCCCCATGGACCCTCACAGAGCAGGTACTATTTGGGTGGTGGGTCATTCTCAGCACTGCAGTAACACTGCCGTGGTGGTGTGTTAGTGTGTGTTGTGCTGGTCTGAGTGGATCAGACACAGCAGTGCTGCTGGAGTTTTTAAACACCTCAGTGTCACTGCTGGACTGAGAATAGTCCACCAACCAAAAATATCCACCCAACAGCGTCCTGTGGGCAGCGTACTGTGACCACTGATGAAGGACTAGAGGATGACCAACACAAACTGTGCAGCAGCAGATGAGCTATCGTCTCTGACTTTACATCTACAAGGTGGGCTGACAGGTAGGAGTGTCTAATAGAGTGGACAGTGAGTGGACACAGTGTCCAAAAACTCCAGCAGCACTGCTGTGTCTGATCCACTCAGACCAGCGCAACACACACTAACACACCACCACCACGTCAGTGTTACTGCAGTGCTGAGAATGATCCACCACCCAAATAGTACCTGCTCTGTGAGGGTCCATGGGGGTCCTGACCACTGAAGAACAGGGTAAAAGGGGGCTAACAAAGTATCAGAGAAACAGATGGACTACAGTCTGTAACTGTAGAACTACAAAGT